TGCTATTCTGTTCACTTATGTTCCGAGTTCCGAGACATTCTTTGACATATGACATTTTGTGCACCTAACCTATCTTCCTCTATATAAATAAATAACAAAACAACTGTTGTTTAAGTGGCTTGTGGAGGTGGTATTGAACTATAATTTATATTTTGCCTTAATTGTTGATTTATAAAGATAATTTTCCTTTTTTAAAGTAGAATATCTAGGTACGTATAAATTATTTCAACTTGATATAGGCGCTGTTGCTAATATGTGATTTAGAAACAAATCCCTTTGAAAATTAAAACCCAACATTTGAAACACCAGTTCGAATACTTTTCGAAGTGAATTTGAAAAACTCATGAATTAAACTCAACTTTATTTTGTTCAAACTTGCATTTGCTGTAATAACCCAAATTGAGGAACATTCCTCATTATGGTAATATGACTTTCACCTTCTTAAAATAATTCATGGGGTTGGTCTTTCATCAAACAGAAGAAATGAAAATGAACCTCAAATGACGTCTTGATAATCTATTTTTAATTTGGTAATAATGATAGTTTAGGAATCAACTTCTCGAAATAATCTTGAAGCCAGTCTTTTCTTTCCTACATAAAAAGGATCCTGGCCTTACGGCTTAATTTGACCAAAGTATGATTCACCCCAACATATAATACAATACTTTTTCGTGAAGCTGAAGGATTATTACTTCTTTTTTGTTGTGTTATTGTCTTTTAGCTGCTTTCTGGTTTACCATTTTCTGGACTGCAATTTCAAGACAGTTCTTCAAAAAAATGCATATTCTACAGGAAGCTAAAAGAACAGACAGAACCCAATAAGGAATTGAAACTTCACAACCATGTTATTTCTCCTTCATCATATAGGTGTGAAGAATGAACAATAAATTGTTGATAAAATAACTGATCAGTAATATTGATAGTGTAGGGAAAGTTCTGTGAAAATTTCACAATAAAGTGTTACATGAATATCAATTTTTTCATCTGAATAAAACTGAGATTATTGGAAATCTAATTAGAAATGAATTTTCTGATCTATTAAGTTTTTTAGTTACATGTTCATTGCTCAGGTACCACAAATACCCAATGATGAATAATAACTTTCATTTGGAAAATTATCCATCACAGTTGCATGATGATGATGCTGAAGTAATTAGTATTACCTAAAGTTGAAAATGAATAATTTTCCTGTTTTCAGGAATTTTCGGATGATTAGTACAAATTAGTATTCATTATTAATAATCCTTTATTCAGCACAAACAGTTTATTGCAGTTGGTCAGAATATAAAATTTAGTAAATGAAGTTATTGAATATTTCTCATTTCTTTTCAAAGTTGGTTGCAGGGTAAAAATCCTCAAGGTTTGGGATATGAAAAAAATGTTGTACACTTCTTCTGTGTTATGTAACCTATTTTTCTTGCGCTTTAGCGGTCTATATTCAATTTATTAGTTAATGTATTTTTTGGAATGACATTGATTTTCTGCCCTGAATATTAGTACAACCTTCCATATAGCATTTAATTTTATTCAAATATAAAGTAGTTTCAACAGGATTTATTATGAAAAATTAAACATTTCTTGATTTTAAAAGTGTGCTACACTCCTAGACTATAAATAAATTAATTGGTATTTTATTGCTTTCAATTAGTAAATTCCTTTTATATTATATTATATTATCTTATATTATTGAACCATCGTATAAAACTTTATTTGAAAAAAATATTACATAACTCCGTTCTTCATTACTTATACCAAATTCAGTTCAAATCGTTATTACTTAATTCAAAAACACTGTTCCGGACGTAAACATGAAAGTAAAATTATCTAGTATTTAGTCCAAGTAAATACTTTCGGTAATTTATAGCTGATGAGTAAGTTCATTCACCTTGGGTTCACTATGAGAAGGTACCTCAGTAAGGAAATATCTAGGTATATGTTAATTTGCTTGTAATAAAGTTTTTTCACACAAGACCTGAAAATACAAAAATATCCGTTTTAGAGATATGAAGCAATGTAGGAAAAGAGGAATCAGAGAGAAAAACAATTCGCTGCCAATTCGCTAGATAATATATTAATCAATAATGACATAATTATGAAGAAACACTTTATACGGGGCTATTTCAGTTCGATCTATGCATGGATATCTCGTGAACGGTAAGAGATGGGTAGTAGAATGAAGTGTGTTAAAGTTGATTATATTCGGGTTCCAAGAAATTAACTCTACCTCGTTTGGTTAGAAATTATAACTGCATGAACCTTTTTTGATTTTATATCATTTCTAGAAACATAAGGATTCGTTTTTCGATGGCTTTCCAGACAAGCTTCCCAAATTTCAGCTAGCGCAGTTGTCGGTTTCAAAGATTGATCATACCACCAAAGCCGACATAAAAACTTGTCGAGCTAGCTTGTATGTCATACCAATAGGTGGTCCTACTTATGTCTCCCTTGCGTTTATGCAGTGATTTTTATGAAGTACTCTTTCTGATTTTTTATAGTTTGTCTTCAATTGAGAACCTGTAGTGGTGATTAATGGTGACACAGCTACCCCGTACGGGGTAGTTTTACTCCTCTTGAACTTAATTTCACCCTCTCGCTCCCCTCAAGTAAATCTACCCCGCCACTGATATAAAGCAAAATAATGTAAAATACAAATTGTAAAAATTAACGAATATTTTGGGTTTGATTTTGAATCTACCACGACACAAGAGGCGAATACCCTTGGCAACGTTGGCGTAGACTGTCTGGCGCTGCTGGCGGCGGTTCCTTGGGTTGTGTCTTACACCGATAGTTCCGATATTCTGTAACAGAATACTCTTCTGCTCTTCCAATAATATCGAGCGCCGAGCTCCGTGATCATGCGGCATGATCACGACGCTCATAGAACAAAGAACGACAATCATAGGTATACGTCAATACGTCACTGTGATTGCTATCATCATGTGAATGTGGATCTACCCTGGTTCTAGCCTGCTGCCTTCCAGAAGTCTACCTCGATAAAAAAATAGCTTGTGGCAACACTACTGATGATGCCAAACAGACTGAAACAGCTGTCTACCCGTCTCTTAAATTGAAATCAAATTTTGAATCATCGGATAGGTATCCATCTATTTGTATGTGATGGAATCGGCCGATACTTAATGGAAATCCATAACATATATACAAAAAACACTTCATTATGAAATTTCCACTAAACAGTTTTACAAAAACGAAACACGTGTTTCGTGAAGCTATTGTAAAGCGAAACACGTGTTGTGTTCTTGTAAATTTAGTGGAAATATCACAATAAAATGATTTTTGAATACTCATCTATTTAATTTTCCATTTCAATTTCTGCTAACGCAATTGTCAGTTTTAAAGATTGGTCAAACCACCAACGCCGACATAAAAACTTGGCAAGTTGACTTTGGTGTCACACCAATAAGTAGTTCCACTATGTTTCGTTTACGTTTACGCAGTGGTTTTCATGAAGCACTCTTCTTGATTTTCCAGTTTGTTTTCAATCGAGATTCGCCCGCCCGATACTGATGATCCCCAACATACTGAAACAGCTGTCTGCCGGTGGCTCGCAAATTGAACAAATATATTAAACTTGAAAGCTACCAAGCAGAGCCCATGTATAGAACAAGTGTGATCTTACAAAAATGTAGTGATTGTATCAAAGACGGAAGGATGTGTGAACATTGTCGATCAAAACTTGCTATAAAAATACAGGTTCGTTTTAAAAATTTTAAAGTTAAGTCGGGCGGCACCTTTTAAAAAAATTTCATTTTCATATTCTGACAGCTATTCAGAAGATTCCATTACAGAGTTAAAACACATATTTTTAATATTTCTGCAGCGAAGAAAATACATGCAGTAATACAATTTGGAATGTTTCAGCACTGAACATCATCCGTTTAGAGTACACCTGAACAAAATAGGATTGTATGAAGGAGACCTCAGCTGCAGCAGTGGATTGCAAAGAAGACAAGTCATTTATGAACAACCTATACTCGAATAGTGTCCAGAAAATTATGACAAACCTGTACTACTGCAGCGAACAAGATTATTGGAAAGAGTGCCGTAAGGAGTAAAAAACCATGTAGGAAGAATGAAGAAAATGTCAAACGACATTTTTTCCGTTAACTCATTTTTTAAATATTAACTCTATAATTACTCTGTGTTCAAGCAAATTCTAAATACTTCTAAAATTTTTAACGTAATTTTTCGAAAACAAAAATTAGTCAATAAGGTTCGGTTGGAAAGAGAATTGAAAGCTCTTCAAAATGAGTTGCCATTTGATATTTTCATACCATTTAAGATTCCAAAGGTCACACCTACCCCACATAGGGAGTTGAAAAATAAGGACTTAATATTCCTTGAAAGGGTCCTCCTTCGAAATAAAATTAATATCCTATATTTTAAGTCCTATAATATCATCCATTCCATGATGATGTTTGCAGGATTGTTTTTTAATAATTCTAACCAATTTTTTTTGATTGGAAGTTCATTACATGATTTCAATTTGAAATAGTTTAGTACTAGTATAAAGTGCAAGATTATAATCATAGTTGCGAAATATAGGTAGATATAGTTCTTCATTACTATTTTTTTATTTATTAAATCAATAATTACGCCCCATTAGAAGGAAAGATATATACAATACACAATAAATGCTCAAACATTATTCCTAATTAGTGTTCCTGAATTTTGAATTTGAAATTTTGAAAAAATCAATGTGAAATCAATTAGATTTCAAGTTTCTTTCAACAGGTATATGCTTACAATAAAGTCAATATACTCCTGAAATATTTTGATTTTTCAGCAAGTTAATGGAAACATTGAAGTGAATACAAGTTCTAGGACTTCTGGAAAAATAATAAAACTGTTAAATAATGTAAACGTTGAATTTGATTATCGTGAAATCTCATTTTATCTAATGGAAGCAAATTGCTCAAGTATTGTCGGCTAGTTTTGTTTTGTTTTGTACTTTTTTCTATCAAAAAATATTAAAAACTCACCTGAAGTTAACTGTAGCCACGCCGAGATATGAAATACAGTTGTGGAATGACAAAAGAAAAACAAAATCATAACACAAATAGTCAGCAAGGCCGTGAAAACTCCAATGCCCACACAGACAGTGGCCGCCTCAAAAGCATAGGGAATGTTCATGAAATTTTCCAATATGTTTCCATTACACTGCTCCCCATTTTCTCTTGCGTAGCACACTGACCACAGCCCAAGTTTTCCGGGATTTTCTCCTTCGGCCACACCGATCCACTCGGGTGTAATGAAAGCCACAACCCCTATGATTGCATAGCAGATGGTGAATATCGCCCACAGCACCCCTATAGCCTTGGAATTTCTGACGTATCTGGTTGCGAATATCTGGGACGAATCGACGTACTCTATTTTAGAACCCATTTTCTGGGTTGACTTTACCGAAGTGTTGTTTTCTTACATAGTAAAATGGCGGAAGTGTCACGAACGTAAGGAGGCCTTGCAACACACTTCGAGGAACCCGCGGTACGTACTTACGGTGCCACTTTCCACTACATACCTTCTTTACGTCTACCTGAGTTTTAGAAGTCATTTAACGTTTGCTATAGTAGGGATGTAGTCCAGGTGAATTAGGCATTTCGGTGCTAACGTTTTATCTCACATACAATTACACTTCGAAAGTGAAGGTTTAGTAAAAATGGTTGAATCGTGTTTCAGTTAACTGCTCTGATAAACCAATATCAAAATAAATTACAATATGGGGAAAATGTTTCAGTTTTATTATAATGAGAAGTTTGGCCTTTCTGTCATATATTAGATTCTACACTCTGTAGGTACATCCAAGCAACAGAATGCTTCAAAACATTATTTTATCAGGTAACTAGTTTAGTGGTCCAATATTTTTTGTGAAGAAAGGTTGGTTGGGTAACATGATCGATTTTTGCTTAAAAAAAACAAAAAAACGATTATTTTGCCAACGTTTCGTTTGTTTCATTTCGTTTTGTGTTAGTGTTGTCACGAACATTTTGAAAATTTCAAACTTTATAATACCGTATATGTACACTCCTCGGCCGCTAAAAATTAAGTGACCACTCCGACACTGTAACAATGAATTCCGCCAGCCAATTGCAGTAAAATCTGAATGGCCAGCGTAAGGAGGCTTGTTTATTTTAACCAATAGATGCAAATGCGCATGGTGATCATACTCTGATCACCCCTCTATCATTGTTTGGGTTGTGTTTTTTTGTTGGAAGGATATAGTTTGTCTAATTTCAATACAAATTCAATTCTGGATTGTTTCTGTTGATAATAATCAATGAAAATTATTGATTATTCAAGGGTTATATTCCGGTTCAAATATGTATAAATCCACAATTTATTGTTCCTTTATTTACTGAAAAACTATCAATACTTTAAAAATACAAATAAAGGATTCAGAAAGAGAGGAAAATTTACAAGGAAAAAGTGCCAAGTCTCTGTGCTCTACATTATTTATAATTTTAATTTAATGCCGAAAATAGTGCTCTGGGCGGCATGATTATATCGCCGCTGAAGACAGTATAACATGAAATATTTTCATAGTTTTAGAATTTGACATAATTTTTCATATTGATTTTTCAAAAAGTTATACAATTGTGAACCAATAAATTTTTCAGACCTCCGTTTTCATAAATGGCGACATAAAAGTTCAAAATGATAGGCTCAAAGAATATTTTCTTTTCTTCTTGGAGCTCTTCTCATATAGGTACACAACCTGTTAAATCTAGGAAGAGACTTGAGAATTCTTACAACCTGCGCGTTCCCTGACAGACTACGCATTAGGACGAAAGAGGATGAAACTAGCGGTCATCAAGAAGTAGAATTGCACACATTGTACTTATTGCCACAATCGACTTCAATAACTGGCCGTAGTGAGAAAACTGGCAACACCGCACAGCCATGAGTTGGAGCTCTTACAAAGGAGATAGCAAAGGGTGTGTAATATTCACTTTATGAAAGTTTTTGACGAAATTATAAAAATTCTAAGTCGTAGAGAAACGAACAAATATAATGTGCTGCCTAAAACGTTCAACTGGGCTAAAAAACAATCATTCTGCCAAGATGAAAATAAAGATCATTTATTATAATTATTATAATTATCATTTCCTTGGTATGAAAAACACTTAACCAGTTTGGTTTTTAATAATAGTTCTCCTATTTGCAATTATAAACTTTATACATTTTCGGTGATAAAATGAAACGTATAGATGAGCCCTGATTCAAGTTTCAGTGATGAAAAAAAAATCATAAATCAGGTTCATTGTGAATTCTGTCAAACTGATTTCTTTATATTAGTACCCGTTTGTTTAAGTGAGAGTAATGAAAAAATGTGCGTATATGAAAACTGAAATAAAAGTTTGTTTCACTATTGAACCAGTCATACAAGTGAATTGACTTCTGTATTTTCATGGTATAGTTCAGTAGTTGTTTCTTATAGTTTTCAAAGAGTCATAAGAAAGAAATAGAGAATTTTCATTTTCTAATGATTTCTGCAATTTGTTTCAATTTGACATACTTTTGAATATACTTTGATTAAGTCTACAATTATCAGTTCGTTTTAGTGATGAAATGTTAGTCAAGTCATTATTTTATTATGAACAATACCTATAATTTGAAATGAATCTAAGATTCGCTGAAGATAAATATTGGTAACAACAATTATTTTCATTATTCATCTAACTGTTTATTGAGTTGAAAATTTTAAATAAATGGCTATCATTTTTTAATTAAAATTTCAGAAAAACCATATGTATAATTTTTTTTTATTTTTCATAACATAGTTATTACAGATACAATGAAAATTATAGATTTTTTACATTTTCGTATTTTTTTAGCACTTATAACTTGTTAAATAATGCAAATAGGGTAATTGACCACCAAAACATCTTTAGGAAAAAAGATATTTGGCTTTCTACTCCTCTATCTTTACACAAAAAATGTGGGAAACTTTCGGAAAAAGCAGTTTGGTATCAGAGTGAAGTCTTCACAAAGATGTATAGATCATGCATCAAGTACACACTGGTAGGAGAATCCCTATCGAAACAATTAATTTCACATAACCATTGAATTACACGAACGAAAAAGTACCTTCGAGACAGCTAATTGTATATGAACATTGAATTTGAACTATTGTATTTGAACTATCAGACAGAAAACAAATAGTGGCACAAGGAACACGTAGAAACGAAGGATGGCAAGTCCGGAAGCTTGTTAGAGAGAAATTCGGGAGAATAACAGTTGTTTCTCAAAACATCACACCAGCGTCAGCAGAAGCATTCTCCATCATCTTTAAATCTATATCTGATCAAATAATGCACAAGAGGAGTTATACAAAAAATCTAAGCCCTGTATTTTGGGGAAATGCGGAGATATAAGTAATCGCAAAAAGAAAAAGACGAAAGTATGCGACAAGAGAAATATGCCGGCCAAGATCCAACGCCTACTGGAAGAATACAAACAGATCAAGAAGTTCCTTCAACAGAGTATCAAAAAATCCAAGCGACAATGCTAGAAAACGGCATACAACAATGTAGAGTATAATATCTATGGATATGGGTAGAAAATCGTGAAGATGAGTATGATAGGCTACCTACCAAGAATATAAATGACAATGATAACCGTACAAATAGTTGTAAATCACATATTCCCGGTATATGATGAGGTGAACTTTACATGTGATTACAATAGTCTTCAGCTTCATTGAAGTGAATAAGCTACGGACTGGACTGCCCAACTGAAGTTGAAAATCAACAATGCTCCTAGTATTTCCGGTGGGATATTCACCAGAAATACTGAAATATTTGGCAGCAAATAAAAAAAGAATACTTACTTGCAGTCTACAACAACCTGACAAGACAAATTGAATTCTGCAGAATGGAAACTAGCAAAATTTCTGAAACAAAGAGATAGGCCGATATATGACCCAAGTGCATTCAGACCAATATGCCTTCTAGACGCATAGAGAAAGTTATACCAAAGTTATACACCAAGTTATACAAAGAAAGTTATACACCAAACAGTCGATGCAATTAATGATGTACTGCAAATTGTAAGACGTGTTCAAGAAGATTTCACCCACGCACATCGAAGACTGTGTGCAGCAATAACTTCGAATATTGAAAACGCCTTTAACAGTGCCAACTGCGGATAATTGTCTCATCATTGCGTTTTATCTCTCCGATAGAGAAATTTTAATGGAGGCTGAAAACAAGTCCAAAGCTGAGAATATCAACAGTGGGGTGCCACAATGGTCAGTCTTCGGCTCGACTCTATGGAATGTTATGTATGATGGATTGCTGAGAGTGGAAATGCCAATGAGAATCACATTGATTAATTTGCTTTTTTAAGGACATATCCATCACACTAGTTGAACAGAGTGAATATATATTGAGAGACTCAGCAAATATTACGATTCATCGTGTATTTAATAAATTGCCTCGAACTGAATAAACTCAAACTGACACTGAAATAACACGAAAAGTTAACACATTCGTGGAATGCCATCTGTTGCAATTATGTGAACTACAAACTATGAGTTATGAAAATTATCTGCTTGGCGTGCCACTCATCACTGTGACTGTGTAAGTCTGTTGGCTACTCAGCCAGGCAAAATAATATGTCTTTTTCTTTCCACTGTACGTTTATTACACTGGTCAACAAAATTCCTGTCTTCTTTTTTTCACTATTATGGGGTATTTTAATGACCCTGACTATGAAAAAAAAACTGGTGAGAGATCGCTAACAGTTTTACTTTTCAAAATAGAGACTTTTACTATTTTGACTAAAAAATACAAGAAAACTATACATATGTTAAGAAATTTCTATTCGTCACAACAAATTGATCTTTCATAAGATTTCCTTGAATTAATTAGTTCAGGTAGATCTCGTTGCAAACTCCGTAGTCTGCCATCATATGTGAATTCCGCCTTTCCTGATAACGCTTTTCCATTGTCCGAGTATCTTGATGTAATCTTTTACCGTGCTACTCATTAAAATCGACAGATTTTAATGAGTAGCACGGTAAAATCGACAGATTTTAATGAGTAGCACCCTAGCTCTTGTGAGTTCTATAGCATACGACATGGTCGTAAGATTTCTTGCTACCTAGGAAATTACTCATAACCAAAACAAATGAGTTCCAAGCATTGGATTCGACTCCAGTGATTGATTTGACAAAATTATGATCTTTCATGAGTTCTCTAATCTGTGGTCCATCAAAAATACCGTACTCAATATAGGAAACTTGTGTGAAAAACAATTGATACATTCGCCACTTCTGTCATAAACTGTTTTATTATGCCGAGTTTAATATGAAGTGGCTGAAGTATGACGCGATCTCGTTTATAAAATTTTTTGTGCCCACTTTCAGTTCTTCCCGCAAAGGCTAAACTTTTTTGTAACTGGTGTTGCTAGTCACGACTATTCCAGAGACAAATGAAAGAAGGGAACTTTGCAGCGGCGGCTCGTCAGAGGAGGCAAGGGAGGCTTAGCCTCCCCATAAAATTTGAGGCTATTCATCGCAATAAATTAAAA